GTGGATAATATAAGATTATTTGAACTCTGAGAGTTGACTTTTAACCCGATCAAATGGGAAGTTCATTCTCATAAATAATTATTGTTATAATAATGATTATAATGTATAATGTATAATGAGTTATTACATTAATTTCGGGTATACTTTGAAAGAAACTAATTTTTAGTCATTTTACTGTTTCGAACATTTAGTTACACCATGTAAATGATAACAAAGAGATGATCCCAAATTTATCAGACATTTTGAAGTGTCACAGATGTGAATTTTTACCAACATGGTTACTTTGACGCTACAAATACGCTAAGTAACGGCTATCTGCCTGAAGTATTGTTACTTTTCATTGACAATGTAGCTCTCAGACTTCATCAGTCCTGTTATGTTCACCCTTTATACTTCGGTAAAGCTTATACAAAAATGAGGTGGCTTGAGAAAGCTTGTTGTTTCTTCTTTAAAAATAGGACAAACCTGTAGCAGGAACAAAAAATATCTTGTGGTGTTATTCCTATAGAAATTTTACATATATATGTTTGTATGTATGAGAAGCATTTTTAGCATGTGGAATTTATTCGCAATATATCCTATCATATTGATGTTCATTATTCTTGAAAACAGTGTGTAAAATAATTGTCAATTAAGTCAATTCAATAGCAGGTAATTGTTATTAACTTTCCTTCTACGTGAAACAATAACCTTTTGGATTGAGTCAATGATTTCAATCATACCATGTATATCATTAAATTATGTTATCGAAAAGTAATGTGAATTGAGATAATTTGTTCGTATATTAATGTATCTGTCACCTGTGAAATATTTACTATACTTATCCAACTAAACACTTGTTTTGAGCAATGATTAACCGTGAGAAGTCTACCTAAAGTCTTCTAATGTATATACTTTTTTTTTAATGTGTAGTTGTGATGTAAGTACCTTATATACATTTTTTATTTAGGGGATTGTTCATGGGACATCATTGTAATAAATATATCTGATGAAAAATCCAAGCACAAATTCGTTTCAGCCGGAAAAGATTTCCTGATGGAACTGAAAGTATTATCGTTCTTAATCGTGTTAATTGAATAATAAAAAAAGGTAATCGAAAATAGAGCCCAAAATGGAAATGTTCTGATGTATGTCATTTCTCACTTACTTGTTGTGAAGATAGCAAATTGCATTAATTGATTACGTTCATATCATTCTTTGCAAGGTTATCTCAAAAACACGTAGCGTTTTCAATTGGTAAAACTAATGCATATTCAGTAAAGAATAGAACTACAAAGAATGTGCACTAGTTTTACCAACATAAAATGCTATTAAACCTTATGATTGAAAGGTGCATTCTCTGTGGTTTGTGCTTGTAGATGTACAAAACATGACCGAAGGCAAAGGGGTCAAATGTAATTTATCTCGATCGTATGATATTGCAAAACGAAATATAACAAAAATTGCCTATAAAGAAGTTTCTCAACATTTTCAATTTAATTCGTAAACAAAGTGGTGTATTCAGATGTTAATTACTAAGGGTATTATTTGGAATTGACAAATTTTATTTTTCATCACTTATGAATTCATCCCATCCTCATGATACGCTTATGCATTCATCTGCACTATTGTTCGAAACATAATACAATGTATGCAGAGAAGTGTTTTCAGTGCCGTCATAATTAATGCGCCTTTTAGTCATAAGATATTAGTTTATGAGATAAGTGGCTTGTTTAATTAGTACAAATAAAACAACATTTCAATTTTGGCTGATTTGCTGAAAGTTACACAAAGAATATATCATTTTCACTCAACTCTTTACCATACCACCTTTTCTAAATGGAATAACCGTATTATTTATAAAATTTCGAAAACATCAAAATTTCTATTGTCACAAGTTTTCAAAAAAATAAACGTTTTCAAACACACTAGACATCAGGCTCTCGGGTCCACGTAATCAAATATGTATCGTGTGCTCTTTGAAACAAGTTTCATTGTTTGACCAATATATTTTTGACGTAATCCTCACAACTAAGTTCATGAATCACAGACCGCCTTTTTCTGATTGCCCAACATTTGTTAACGTGTACAAACAAGTGTAACTTTTATATTTAGTATTTCAGTCAGTAAGATATATAATAATAAATAACGAATTGCATACCGATGTGAAACTCGTAGTCTCCCACCTCGGCTCATGAGTATATTTTAATAGTGAACGAGAAAATAATTTACTTTCCATGGACTTAGAAATACGTTATGCGTATAACATATTCGTTACTTTCAAAACCAAAAAGATTAAGGTACAGGACTGTAGAATATCAACAAAAGTTCCACAAGTATGTATTTTCCTTGTGAAACTAAAAGCAATAAAAGTTGCCATTCTTGGTGAACTCAGCCATAAGAAATGCCTATAAGTACTTCATTTAATATAAGAACTTTCAGGTTGATTACCCAGAGATTGCCCAATGCCTTCAAAAATTCCCTACGAATGAAGAAAAAATACTAATAAGGAGTTCGGAAAAAAGCCATGTTGGTCAATCGGAACAAGATGTTTGAATTCGTTTCAAAGAGTATACGTCATATTATTCTATTTTGTATATGGGAAGAGTCTAGTTTCGCCTAACATGTTTCAAAGCAATACAAAAAAAAACTATCCATTTTTTATGCATTATTTTCTCTAAAATAATCGTGGAATTTTCTCATCGGGGAATTGTGTGTAGGTAGTAGTGATGAAAATCATTCAGTACACTATTTATCTACGTTTTGAATTATTTAAAAATCATAATGAAAACTCAGTTGGTCAAAAAAATATTTTTTCTTTTTTTTTAATTTCTATTCTGAAATAAATCTTATACTGTGTATACTGTATAAAAATCGAAGACCTTGAAATTGGGAAAAAACCAAAATACCTCGATGGGTTGTTGAATAGGGAGATTGAAAAAAAAATAAAACCATTTAAGCAAAAGTGGAAAAGTAATGCATTGTTTCATTGAAATATTTGACTAGTCCCAGATTCATATTGATAACTTTGAGTTTTTTAATTTTCGTTCAAGTTTAACTCAACATTTCAATATTTGAAGTGGTATTTCAAATACAGAATTTCAACAATCTTGGTACAAAGTGCGCATAAAGCATGTGACCAGTGAAACCCACATCATACCCGAGCAAGGAATCGCACTTTTAAAATTAAGAGCTTGTTAATCCTCGCACTAATTTCAACTTCTCAGGGTTGTCGTTTGTGAGGGGGCAATAGATGATCGAAGGAAAACAGATTTTGAACAGATATGTAACAGTTTCTAAAAAATTTGCTGTGCTCGAAGTTTGACATCAATTTCCATTTCAATTGATTTAAAAAATAATAATTCAAATGATTCGCATTGTTCAACAAATTTTATTTCGTTCCCAGAATAATGGTCAAAAATCTAAAATATTCTTACGTAACTGAAATTATGCATTCCGGTCAAAAATTGCATTGAGGAAACTTTTTGAGGTTTTTAAGTTTGATAAATAGCCTTCTCGAATTTTTTCGGGAATAAAATAAAATTTGACGGACAATGTGTGACTATTTTGGTTATTTTTTATTTCGATCAAAGCAAAAAGTCGCTGGTCCCACTGTAAATTTCCAGAGTAATGTTTGGGAAATATTGATTTTTGTTATTGTTGTGAAGATACTAGACGTGTTTTTTCAATGTTTTTTCATTTCTTCCATATACGAGATCGTAAATTATGTTGATGTTTATTGCTTTCCACTTTCTGGAATATATTGAAATTTTATTCTTTTGCTTCCGTTACCATTCGATTCATCACAAAAATGTAAATGCAATGTACTGAAAATTCAAAAATCAAACATTTCGGTTACATTTTTCTCCTAATGTTTGACATTCATTTGTCATTTGGCATATCAATCACAAACAATATGAATAACTTCATTGTCACACTACCATTTGATAACATGTATACGAATGGAGTTATGTAACCACAATCTTATTGAACTGCGAGGTGTATTTTGAAATTATTTAAGTAATATCTTCTTGAACTGTTGTGTCTTTTGTATATCTCTCTATCTTGTCAATATTATATTGATCCTTTTATATTAGTAGCAAGTAAAAAATATTGTCTTCTTGCTACTAATATAATGAACGTAATGGTAGATATTTTTTTTAGCAATATAAGCTTATATGCTATAAATTATTTTTAATTTCACATTGGCACAAGTGAAAAGCTTCCATCGAAATTCACAACAGAAGAGGTAATGTTTCGAAGTTGTTTTTTCGATGAGTTCGTTTTTCGCTTAAGGCGTAATAGTGTAGAGGCAATAATAGAAAATAACAGAATAGTCGATATCATTATATTTCCAAATTAAATGCTCAGGAATGAAAATTATCAAAACTACCAGCTGACTCCAATTGAATTGGCTAATAATCCACACAGAAAATCACGTAGAAAATTAATACATAACTGTCAATGCTTTTAGTATTGAGTTGTGATAATAATATATATTATATCGAATATTCTTTCAATACTATGCATTAGCCTGAAGTAAAATAAAACCGAATGGAGTTTCTAGATATTTTCTTTCCTGAAGGAATTAATAGAAGAGAACTTCGAATACTTTTTGTCAACTTGGTGTTATTATCTTCGCATATCTGTGTTAAAATAAGAAGAATTCCTCAAGTCCACGGGTATATTCAAGAATCAATTTTTTCATTAAATTATTTTACCCGCATTTTCAACATTCTGCTTCTTTATGTGAACTCATGGAAAATTCTAACTGAATTTCCAAGCTTTGCAAGTGAAGTGTTGAAAATAACGAGATTCCCATGAATTCGACAAAACGAATAAGAAAATAATATCATAAAAGGGATTAAGTAAATCATTCGATTCATGAATAGACTTGTTGCTATGCAAACTGAAATAGATGTACAAAAGAATTTAAGAAAAGCAAATATTGAATGAAATTCCTGTTAACATTAGTAAAAATAATTATCAATGAAAAGAAAATCCAAAAATAAATAAATATGTTACTTATATAAATGAATTTTATTTGACATCTAATCTGTTTTTCAGTGTCCATAAATATACAGCGATATTATTCAAGGCTATCTTCAAAGAATGGATAAAGCTTTCAGTGAGTTCTTCATTTCAGTTTGTTGCTCTTCAGTCAGATTATCGAGAGGAGGTCTAGCTTTACCTACGTCGATAGAAGTTATCAAACCCATTGCGATTTTCATTGTTGGGACCCATGCACCTGCAACAAATTTTCAAAATTATATCAACTGTAATAATTCAACATAGTATCGAAAATAAAAAAAATGTGTTAATTTTTAAAGGAATCCAATGTTTTGGATAAAAAAATTGAATTTGTCAGGTCAGGTCTTGTGTGTTTCAAAATTGTATAATGAGAGCTGACAAAAATTAACTATTCACAACACAACAAAGTTTTTGTTTCGGGGTTGAAATTAGATGATTTTAACGTATTTCCACGTGTTTAAACCGAAAGTGACCATAAAAATTATATATTAGCTCTTGTTTTCAAGATATAGTATCATT